AGAGAGAGAGAGAGAGAGAGAGAGAGAGAGAGAGAGAGAGAGAGAGAGAGAGAGAGAGAAACACAGACACACATACACAAACACACAGACAGACAGACAGACAGACACACACACACCCCATATGTATGCATATGTGAAAAGTATTGAGTCAGATATTTAATATGCTGCCTGAGGCCATGACCTAGAAAGTTGTTCAAGGCAGGGATGTCTTCTCTGTCAGGAACAGGAACGTCTCTTTCTTTAAGCTGCCTCTTTCACAGAGGGATTAACAACAGTTGCTCTTTCTAGATTTGCCACCTCACACACTTCCTTAGTCTGTATCACTTCTCACTTTAGCTCTTTCTTGTTTACACTAAGTTGCAATTAAATCCCAAATCTTACAGGTTAAGATTCATTTGGAAACATTAAGATCTTTTTCTTTGTCATCCTCGGAAAACGCTAATTTGTAACTTCACAATTTATCTCCTGGAGTTCAACAACACCTTGCATATCCTTCTTGTCCCTAAAATGAAGTCGTTAAAATGCATTGTGCAAGTGCAAGCCTTGCACTGTTTGCAGTTTCCTCTCTTGGGGTGAATCAGAACCCTGGCGAGAATCCTTAAGCCTCCTGGTTAGGAAGCACAGAAGGGCTAGTGAAAGTTTATCTTTGAGGAGAAAGGAGATTAAATTTTCCCAGATACCTCTGGGTGATTCTGTATGAAGAAAAACATTGCTTTTAAATCAGTTAAGTGCGTTAGGAATAGGAAGGAACCGTCGTTTTGATATTTTTAAATGTTTGACAGCTCCATTATCTCAAGACCTGAGGCCCACCTCCCCATCCCCATTTTTTGGGAAAGATGTGAGATTGAAACACCATAGCTTTCTCTCCTTCTTGAACTAATTACACTTTTCTTACATTTTGAAAAGTCGCAAAACCTCTAGCAAACCTTCTTCCTTCCCACCCCCAGCAATTTTTCAGCTCCTGACCCAGAGACCTATTTAAGATGTGTTATTAATAATAGTTATTCTTTAATAACGAAAAGGAAAATGCCAGGGCGTCGGCGCGTCTCCGAAGCGCGCTTCCGTCCCCTCGCCCCGGCTCGCTGTGGCCCTGCCAGGCCGCCGTAGCCGGCCTCGCGCATTCCCAGCGTGGCGAAGAGCTGCTGTCGGCGGGACTTCCGTGTTGGCGGGATTCTGAACGCTGCCATGGCTCAGACCGTGCAGAACGTTACATTGTCCCTCACTCTGCCCATCACGTGCCACATTTGCTTGGGGAAGGTAATGGGTACGGCTAGAAGACGGGGTTGAGGACCAATTGCCCGCGGGGGCCGAGCGAGGCCCGGTGCTGGGCGGGGATGGGGCGTGAGGCGCAGGGTGCCAGGGAAGGGCTGACCTGCGAGCTCCTCGGAGGAGGGAGGCCGGTCCTGGGGGGCACGGGGGCGACCCGGATCGGTGGGCTCGTCTGGCTCCTCTGGCCCGGGCCTGGGCGGCCTGCGGCGGCTTCAGCCGGCCTGCGAAGAGCTGGTCAGCGTCTCGGCGCTGCAGCCTCCATCCTCTGCAGCCCGTGCTGCGTGCAGCGCCTGAGGCAGGTTCCCAGGAGCCTTGTCCGAGTTCCCTGATCTCCTGAGCCCCCCAGTGTGGCTATTCGGGGGTTAGGGGGTCAGGATCCATTTTTAAAGTCCTTCCCTTTTCTTATCCTCGACTGGAGGATGGCTTTTGCCATGTGGTCCAATTTGAAAAGTCAATGATGGTACGTGCCCCCTGTCCCTTCTTGCTGTTTAGAACCAGAAGCTTGTTGGTCTCTACTCGGAGATCAGATCAGTCACAAGAGGCAGGAGATGCTCATGGGTTTGTGAAACTATCTGGAGAAAGTAGTTTGGTATTAGAAGCTGAGTTTGAATGTTCTCACGCGTTCGTATTCCCTTTCATTTCCGTTTGTGCCTCCGATTCAGTTTTTTTTTTTTTTTTCTTTTTAAGAGCGTGCCTTTACCGCGTGGTTCAAGAACGGAAAAGGAACTGATACGAGTCTTTCCCACTCGGGATTGCTTTTTGTATGTAGTGTGTCCGAGAAAGTAGGCTGCAATTTACAGCCCCAGGCTTATCAGGGAAAAAGGAAGAAACGAGTGCCAGCCAATGAGATCCCCTGCTTTTTAGGTGTTGGAGGTTCAACATAGATTTACAGATTCAATAAATAAAAGCAAGTTAGGATAGGAAGCAACTTCTAACCTTAGCGTCAGAGTAAAAGGCCAGTGAAATAGCACATGCGCTGTGAGGAAGAATGGCTTGCTTCAGCTCTGTGGCAGGCTGAAGAACAGCTTCCACAAAAGTGCTGTTGGAGCTGGGCTGTTGGTGGATCTGGTCTACATTTTCTTCATACTCATAGATTCCATCAGTGCCATCTTTCGAACATACTTTTTTTTTTTAAAAAAAAATTACTTCTAGATTATTGTTTATTAACCTTGACCAGGATCGTCAAACTTTTTTTTTAAATTGAATACAATTCAGGCTTTCCCAATTATAATCTGTATCATTATTCCCAATTATAATCTGTATCATTATTTCCTTGCTTCTCAGTTTCCACAGCTGAAAATGTATTTAATTTTATCAACCCCACTATAACTTGTTAGAAGGATTTGTGTGGTCCTCAGTGGGGTGGAGATAAGAATTTTGGTTCCCCAGGAACATTTGAGAATATGTAGAGAGTTTCTTGATTGCCCCCAGGTGTAAGCCAGTGGCGTCTGATTGGTGGATTCCAGGTCTGCTGCTAGCTAAATCTCCTATGATATACAACACAAAAATTCTTCAGTTCAGAAAACCTCAAATGAAGAGCCGCCACCTTAATCAGTATATAATTCCCATTGGTGAGCCCAAGATAGCAGTGCTTTTGAGGAAGAGGAACTTTAAACGTGACTCCTCTCAAATACACTTGCAGTTTTACGAAGAGGGTTTGGTCATACAAGAGATAAAATGGCATAGTAGAAAAACTGAAGCTGAGTGTGTTGCCACGTGCCTTTAATCCCAAACTCAGAAGGCAGAGACAGACAGGGCCCTGAGTTCAAGGCCAGCCTGGTCTGGAGATCAAGTCCCAGGACAGTCAAGGCTACACAAAACACCCCTGTGTTAAAAAGGATGGGAAGAGACAGATGGTAGAGTTAATCTTTGTACTAAAGACTGCCCGTCCTCTGCATTCAGAGTGAAGAGCATAGCACCCTGTACTCCTCCTCCTCTTCCTCTTCTTCACCATCTTGGAAACATTGTCCTGTGGTGCTTTGTACTTCAACATGCATACCCTGAGGAGTTGGCTGTTTAAAATGACACTTAACCTTTGCTGTGTGTTCCTGCCCTTTTAGTTTTTAAGAGTACTGTTTTATTGCTAGAGATCTTGTTTGAGGGAAATTTCATTGTGAAACTAATAATCTCTGCAAATTATGATTATTTTTGTATCTTAGAACTTTTAATCTTGTGCATGTTCAGGTATTTTGCTTGATGTGATCTGGGTAAAGGAACAGGGTAGACAAGAACTGAAGGAGTACTGAATTCATTGTATTTTACTACTTTGAGTATGATCAAATGAAATAACTTTTAAGATTTATTTATCGATCTTATGTGAGTACATTGTCACTCTCTTCAGACACACTGGAAGATGGCATCAGATCCCATTACAGATGGTTGTGAGCCACCATGTGGTTGCTGGGAATTGAACTCAGGACTTCTGGAAAAGCAGTCAGTACTCTTAACTGCTGAGCCATCTCTCCAGCCCCAAAGAACTTATTTTTAAGTTAGTGTTTATATTAGTTACTTTTTGTTGCTGTGATAAAAACACCAGGAACAAAAGTAACTAACAGAAAAAAGAGACTATGTTGCCTTATGGTTCCAGGAGAGTCCATAATGGTGGAGGAGGTAGTAGGAGCTGGAGCCAAAGGCAGAGAGAATGTGAACTGGAAGTGAAGTGATGCTATAGATTCTCAAAGCCCTCTCCTAGTGATGTACCCCTTCCAGTAAGGCCTCCGTTCTTAAAGTTTCCTTAATCTTCCCAAAATATGGTGGCTATCCTGAGTCCAAGTATCTACATACCCAAGTTTATGGGAACATTTCTCATTCAACCACCTCATTCCACTCCTTGTCTTCAACAGGCTGTGTCCTAACACAAATGAGTTTGCTGCAACTTTTAAAGTCCTAATGGCTTTGCTATCTTGATAGTGTTTTAAAAGTCTAAAGTCTCTTCTGAGACTTAACTGTAACCCCTCTATAAAATAACATTTAAAAGTACATGTTTCTAATATAAAGTGGAATAGACTATACATTCCCTTCCCAAAATGGAGGAATGGGGCATAGTGAGGAAACAGTACACTGAACCCAGCAGAGCACAAGGTCTTATAGCTCTGTGTACAGAGTCTGAGAGTTTATAATCAAGGGGCTTAGATGCCTCACCTCCCCAGATTTGCTGCCTGGGACATAAATCTCTTGGGGTAGTACCACTCCCTGTATGCAACTCTCCTTGTCAGATGTCTTGTGGTTTGGACATCTCCAGTATCTTGGATTCTTCACCCACAATGGGCTCTCGGAGCCTCTAGCCTCTCAGCTTCCCTACTATGTGTTGACTAGCCTCAGTGGTTCACCGAAACCATAGAGGAAGAGCTCATGACTCCCATACTCATATATTTTATGTCGCCAAAGGCCGTATCACATAGAGAACACCACCAAGTTTGGCTGCCATCTTGGGACAGATGCTCAACCTAGTTGACCACGTTAGCAGCAGCATTTGTTTGCTGAAGCAGTTGCTTAGGAGAAGCCATGCCTTGGGCTTTCTCCCTTTGTATGTCAGAAGCTTGGCTAGGTAGATCCTGCCCTCAGAGCTCTGTCTTTACTGTTTCTGTGCAGAGCACGAGGCCTCTTCTTACTGCTCTTCTCTTTAACAGTTGGCAGCCTCATTTTCAGCACTAGCCTTGGCTGAAACTCTTTCCCTCCTAACTGTCCGTTTTAGAATGTCTTTGTGCCCACTTGTTCTTTTATTGTAGAATTATGAGTTATTAGTAATAACTATACCATAGACTTACTATGCTATCTTGAAACTCCCTCTGCCAAGGAAATTTCCTTTTTATTTAGCCTTAGGCAAGTTCTTAAGGCATGGGAAGAAGGCAGGTATAGTTCTGTCAAAAATGTCACAGGGATGTTCTGTAGCCTCGCTGCTAATAGTGGCCTTGTTCTCTGAAGTCTCTTGAGCCAGCCCTCCACAGTCTATATTACGCTTGTCAGTGCTGTCTTCTAGGCTCATACTAGAAAAGTCTTTTAATATCTGCATTCTATACCCCGTGTCTCCTGGTACCAACTTGTGTATTAGTTCCTTTTTTTTCCTGTGATAAAATATCATGATCAAAAATGACCTGTGGAAGGGACAAGTTTATTTTGGCTTATGGCTCCAGAGGGAGAGGCCATCATGTCAGCAGTTGGCCCAATCAGGAAGCTGAGAGATCCCATACTCAGCCACAAACAGGAAGGAGAGTGCAAGTCAGACAAGCCTATAAACTCTCAGAATCAGTCATGTACCACCTTTAGCAAGGCTCTGCTTCTTAAAGGTTCCATAACTTTTAACACAGAAGTTCCCCAAACACAGTGCCAGTAACCAGGGACAAAATGTTCAATTATGTGATCCTACAGGGGACATTTCTCTTTCAAACCACCACAGTAGGGAAATGGATTTCATATAGATTTCTTCATTTTCATGGACTCTTTTCCCCCAGGTCATCCCTCCTGCTTTTCTGCCATGTGTGTGTATTCTATAAACTCTCCCCCCTATTAAGATCTTTCCCCAACTTTGCATTGTCTGCTTTCTATTTTTATTACCTACACAGACATAAATTTATCTAGATTACACATGTGAAAGAACACAATTGGTATTTGATTCTTGCTTCTTTCTCCTAGCTTAATGATGTCCAGTTCCATCTATTTTGCTGCAACATGTGGCTTCATTTTTTATTATAACTGAGTAAAATTCTGTTTTGTGTATGCATCCTATTTATCCATTTGTCTGTTGATGGAAATCTGAATTGGTTCCAAATCTTAACTATCATGAGTACTGCAGCAGTACATACGGATGTGCAAGTATCTCTGTAGTGTGCTTACTGAGAATCTTGTCATAGGTACCACTGGTATACTTGAATCATAGGTAGTTCTAATTTTAGTTTTTTTAAGGAACCAACACAGTAACTTCTGTGGTGTAGTTATCAATTACATTTGCACCAGCTTTGAATAAGGTCACCACTAGCATTTGTGGCATT